ACTTATTTGTACAAAATCAAGGAAACTTATTTGTACAAAATCAAGAAAACTCATTTGTACAAGATCAAGAAAACTTATTTGTACAAAATCAAGAAAACTCATTTGTACAAAATCAAGAAAACTTATTTGTACAAAATCAAGAAAACTCATTTGTACAGAATCAAGAAAACTCATTTGTACAAAATCAAGAGATCTCAGTTGTACAAAATCAAGAAAACTCGGTTGTACAAAATCAAGTAATCTCGCTTCTACAAAACCTTGAAGTTCCAAGCGTAGAAGATAAAGAAGCTATTCAGGCTTTTGATAATATTGTATTAAAAATCGTTCCACGTTCAATGGTAACTATAACGAAATATTGTGTAAGAATTGGAGTTGGATATCTATTTTAATTAAATTTTTATTTTAGATTCTTTCAGATAAATTGCGTGCTTTGAGAATGCCAATGGTTTTAAAGGATACACTATATCTGGATCATTCAATGCATCAATCATTCAATATGGTACGGTATATTTTATTTTTGCACATCATAGTGATATCATTGTAATATTGATTGTTTGGTATTTTTGATTTTAGTTATTAAAGTTTCCGGAGGAAAACACTGTGGCAAAAGTATTACATATGTTTACACAATCTTCGTATTTTTTAGAAGTTGATAACCAAAAGTAACTATTTAATAAATATCTAAATATATTACTAATACAAATTTAATACTATATTAATTGTTAAAGGAAATATTCAATTGAGTTTCCTGTTACATTGATGAAGTATTTTAATGCTACTGTCCATACACATCTAACTTACAGAATCGAGCAACTTTATTCTTTAAGAAATAAGGTAATGATAAAAATTAATCATTTAAAATGATACTTAAAGCATATGTCTAATATTAATGATTTCCAATTTTACATGCTCAAATTCAAAGAAAAAAATTTACTTAAGAATTTGAGCAGAGTGATATAGGTGTTAATTTTAAAATGCTGTTTGATTTTTATGTTTGTGTACATGTACTATGATCAATAACATTAGGACTTACTAAACGTTTTGGTATAATAAAAATAATAAAATAAAATGTTTAGTCTTTTTGTGCTACTTATAGTAATTTTAAATGTGTTACTTTTTTGTTTGTTTGCTATTTAAATATGATAAAAAAATTTTGGGAGAAAAAAAACTAAAAAATTAATTATAAAGTTACTCAAAAGGTGTTCTTACTATATACATGGTGTCTCACAATGATCTGACATGGAAAAATTTTGTTGTATTCAATATTTAAAAAAATGTTTTTCCATATAATTCGTAAATACTTACGATACATTTTAAGTCAACATTTTTTATTTTTTAATACTGAAAAAAAAACTTAAAAATTGGTAACAATTTTTTTGAATAAATTCAAATAGCCTATTTGTGAATCCGATTATTAGAAAAATATTGATGGTAAAAAGATTTATCTCAGTCTAGTAGTTTATTTTTTAAAAGTTTTTTAAAATTCAGTATTTTGATTATCTTAATTTGGAACGTAAAAACTTTTTTTAAAAATATGATTTTTGAGGATTTGCTAATCTCCTCAAACTGCTAAAACTCATCTTATAATGTTAAGTGGGTAATATAGAGAATTATAGTAGTATTAAGTTACTATTATGAATAAAAAACTATGAACTACAATAAACCAACTGAAATTGTTATTTTTCATTAAAATATCCAATTTTATTAAAATTTGAATCCCAATCCTTATAAAATACTGGTAGTACTTATGTTTTTTTAATTTCATAATATAAAAGTAATCTGTAAATCAGTGGTTCTCAAGCCTTTTTGGTTCACGGTACATCATTATACATCACAAATTTTCACGCCTCACTCAACACAAATATAATGATATAAATTACTGTTTTCAATATTTTTACCACCATAATTACAAATATCAAAAACATCTCGCGGCACACCTAGTCGATCTCTCGGCACAGTATTGTGCCGCGGCACACCGGTTGAGAACCACTACTGTAAATGATACTGGGTATTTTTAAAATTAAATTATGTATAGAAATTTATAATTTATTTAAACTGACGATAAAATATTACAAGTTTCCACAATTGATATTTTTCTAATAATAATAAATTCTATAAACAATACATTTATTGCTCAGAATTGCCCAGAAACAAAAATTAGAATTTTTAGATGCATATGCATTTATAAAAAAAATTAACAGCTGACATCACATGCTGTTTAACCCATTACTTATCAAAAGCTTTTATGTAGTTCTAAATATTTTAATATTTATGCACTTTTTTGTTGATTTAATTTTTAAATTAAATTCAGTAATATTCAATACAATCATTAAGAAAAAGTTTTAACAAGGTTAATTGGTTTTGCATTGATATAAATCTCACCACAATTGCATTGATATGAGCACAGAGTATAAAGTTATATTAATTATACCAGTTAGGTATATTGTCATAGAATATAATTAGCCTTACTGCAATATAAAAAACAAGATTTTTGTTCTTAATCATAAAATAAGTAAATAAACAATTTTTACATAAAAGATATGTATTGTATTTTATTGTCTGTTTTAGGGCATGACTTATTTTCAGCAGAAAATATACAATCAGCCAATCGTCAACTATTTCTTTAAAAATCAACTATATCCCAAAAAAATTTGGTGTTATTTATATGGCCCTATGCATCTACTAAGGTTACTTCGTATGTATCAAGCACAATTACATAATTTTGTATTTAACCTTAATAAGTATTGTCTGTATACAATTTTGATTGTTTATTTTTTAATTAACATCAGTGTTCAATGATAAGTTTATAATTATGTTAATTAAGTTGTCTATTTTACAAAAATTACTCAAGACTAATATTACAATTAAATAATATAAAGTAATTCAAATATTGATTCTATTTAAAAATTATAAATTTAGATTGAATTGAAAATAGTGTTAGTATATTCATTGTGTAGAAAATAAAATAAAACAAATTAAATGTACTTATATAAAATGGGTTAAGGGCATTAGAGGCAATGCAACAACACTTCTTACGGGGGAAAAAACACGCCAGGTRAAATTATTTTATTTTATTTGATATAAGAACATTTTGCATGTTGGATTAGTGCCTGATTTCCAAAATCTTAATATTATAGAAGCTAAACTATGTATTTGAATAATGCACAATTTCGTTATTTTCAAATGTATTCTTCTAGCAGTATTTAAAACTAAATTCTCATCTTTCAGATACTAAAAAAATTTGACATCTAATTGAGGAATTAAAGTTTTTTTGTGAAGTCATCGTTATTATTTATTATACCATATCAACTCCATCCTCCACTAAATAGTAGGAAAGTATTGACTATAATTTAGTGAGAAAGTTTTTAATTAAGTAGTTAAACACTACATTATTAAAGATTATTTTTAAATTTCATAGAATTACAAAAAAATGAAAAAAAAAAACCTATATTGACATTTTAACTATAAATATATCAATTTATCTATTAAAATGTATTCTTAACACGACATGTGACTGCTGGCGATTTTCTGTAATTCTAAAATTGTATATTGCCTATGTATATCACTTCTGGCACCCATAGTAAGTTGATCATTACTGCCAATACCACATGGTCGCCGGCGATCGTAAATTAGCATCGTTTTTATATCATTAACTTTTCAATGGCGCTACAATATGCTCTAAAAATGTGCTGTAGAATATCAAGAATCATTACAAATTTTAATAAAATAAGCATTTTTTTATATTTCTTATCTTTTTTCCAACTATAATAGTAAATATAAATTTAAAATGACGCTGAAAAATATCTTAGGTTTACCGATAATAACATATCGAGTGATCGCTGTTGTCACTCAGCATGTCAACACGATATGTAAAATTGAATAAAATTATTGAAAATCTTAACGATACACTTTAATCAWAAGAATTTTTGGTATTTTTTTTCAGAACATTTACCATCAATTTTATCAATAAACTCGTGGCATCCTGAATACGAATCAGATACTTTCGCTCTACATATTGAACGATTGTTACAGTAAGTTAATATTTTTAGATGTTTTTATTTAAACAAATACTGTTATAATTTGTAATGACATCCAAAGAACAAGAAAAAGTTGAGTGAAACAACTAAAGTATATAATTTCATTAGGAATAACATTATATTATCACATATATATGACGTGCGTTAAAAATATATCCACATTTTTGTACGAGTTGTATTGTACGTTAATCTCCGCAGTTTTTCCCTTTGGATTTGTTTTCATATTATTCATCTGACGAGTTTTCGTTTAATATTTATCAATCATATTTTAAGATATATTTTAATAGTCTAGCCGTTATTAATTATTAATTCATAAATAGAATACGCTTTTTGGGTTATCATCCTACTATCTAAATTAAGATTTAAAACCAATACATTTTAACATATTTTTCATTTAAAAAAAAATGTTCAATATCAAACAAATTAGTAGTTGTTGAAATAGTAATTAGTAATTACATTGCCTGTAAGTACATTTATGTGATAGGTCATTTTCAACAATGTGAAGAATAAACACCTACTTAAGATCTACTATGGCCTAAAATCAGTTAATCAAATTGGGTACTATTAATATTGAAAAAATATATTTTTTATGACATAGGAGAGATTCCAAATAATTTAATTTTAACTGGAAGGAGAATAAAGTTATTGTAATTAGGTTTACTAACCCCTATTATAAGATGGCTAAAAAAAAAAATGAAACAAAAAAAACAAAAACAATAATGTGTTAATATATGTGTTATAATATGTGAATTTGATTTTTGATGGGTATAAAGTATACAGTGAGTAACTGAAATATATGTCATCCTGTTATATCTTTTATATTATGTTTCATTTGTCATATTTTTCTGTTAGAATCTGTATAGATGTTCTAAATGTTTATGTTTATTTATAACTCATGTAGGAGCGTTGAAAATTATTCAGGGGTTTTGTGATAATTTGAAAGCATCATAAGAGTATCTAGTATCATGATTCTAGGTACCCCCCCCCCCATAATAACAAGATATTACTTCCAATGTGCATATAAGTACTTTGATATTGTGATGCTATGAAGACGCCAGCGCTCAGCGGTTCTATAGAATTTCATGTGTTGAATTTGACAATAAACAATTCATTCTATTAATACAAATAATTGAATGAAATATGTATTTAAATATGTATTTTTTAACGTTACATATTAAGCTACGTTATTAGTCAATTATATTCAGTGCGGTGGYGAAGGGTAATTTCAGAGAAAATTGCCTTTGGGATTTTTCACATTTTGGGGGCTGGATATCAAAGATTGTGCGTATTYACATGCGAATACATAGGGAGTGGGTCATCTCACAGGTGATTGCCTCTGGTATATTTTTAGTTCGCTACGTAACTGGTTATATTCAATATAAATACTTTATACTAAATTTTAACTATAAATAATAAGTTTATAGTATGGGGTTTAGCGTGGTACAGTAGTTAGCCGTAGTCACTAACTTTTATTGAGRTTATGCATTGACTGTTTTTGTCGTAAAAGATACAGTCATTCTCTCCAAATAGACAATTAATTTTTCTCTAAATCAATGTTGTCAGTTATGTTAATTGTGGGCTAAAACATTTTTGTTTAATTATTTGGTTAGAGGAAAATACCATTACCTATATAGCAGGGGTTTTTAACATGTGCGGCCACGACGGCCCCCAGGAATTTAGATTATTTATTATCAAGGGAGCCACAAACAAAGTAGAAGATTAAAAATTGTTTAATTTAGCATTATATATATATATTTTTAATTTTAAGCCCCACAACTACAGCCATTAGCTGTTTGTAGAGGAGAAAAATTGGTTTGGAACATGTATTGTATGTGTAGTAAAGGAATCCCGAGTGGTCACCCATCCGGGAGCTAGCAACGTAGGCCGGTGCGTACACTAACCAGCAATTGAGTGTAGATATTAATATCATTATTTGTATGGAACCGTCACTCGTTCTATTTCAAAATATCGCAGGTATAAAATATCTATGGTACAAAATATCTCTTATGAAAATATTTTAATAATTTTAATGTTTTTCTAACAATAATTATTAAAAGTAGGTAAAAATGTATTTCTATATATTTATAATAATACTGATGTTTGAAATGATATTTATATATTGATAATATTATATATTTTTTATATTATTGATTAAATTTTATATTTATTTTGTTTTATTTGATATTATTCCATAAAATTTTATTATTATGAATCGTCCACAACTTTAAATTGTATTTAAAATATATTTTTTGTGATAAGTTTTTATTGTCTGTAGATTATTTTCTGTTTTCCCACTGTGCTACTAAAACTCACTGAATTTTAAATACATTCGATTATAAAATAATTTATTTTATACCTACTTGTAATCGGTGCATCCGAATTGGGTCCCGAGTAGTAGGGGCTATTCGCAGGTACTATACTAGTTGGGTCCCAGATTTTTAAAGTTATTATACTAGTTGGGTCCCGGATGTTTATAGGTACTATACTAGTTGGATCCCAAATTATTTTAGGTATTCCACTAGTTCCTGAATACTTTTTGGTAAGTACTACACTATACTTAAATTTTCATTCCCATTTTAATAGACTGTCTATGATCTATTTAGACCACACAGGTATGGTTAAAAATGTATTTTAAAGTTTTTTTTTTTAAATATTAAAATATATAATATAAAATGTAATAAAAAAATTGCAGGAATAATCAATCGATTTGATTTTGTAAAATTAATGTCGTATACATTTTTACCAACACACACGTGATTTTTCAAAAAATATTATTCTATTTGTATTTATATTATATAATTATTTTAACATTTTTAATATTTTTTCACTTACATCTATATGGCTATATTTATATTATATAATATGTATTTTTATACTCGGTTTTT